AATAATGAAAAGCGGTAGAACCAGTAAATAAAAATGAAATTCTAAAAAATATTCAAATAATACAAAAGAATACAGAAAAGGAAGAATAGGGGAGTAAAAATAGAGGTGACAAACAAAATAAATAGTGACATTATTGACCCAAATCTGTTTCAAATTACATTAAATGTTTATGAACTAAACACTACAATTAAAAGGCAACAATTGTCACAATAGATAAAGCAAGATGCAACTTTATTTTTTTTAAAGATATATTTATTTATTTCAGAGAGAGAGAGTGTGTGGGAGGGTGGAGAGGCGCAGAGGGAGAGAGAATCTCAAGGAGACTCTGCACTGAATACAGAACCCAGTGTAGGGCTGGATCTCACAACCCCGAGACCATGACCTGAGCTGAAACCAAGTCGGACACTCTACCAACTGTGCCACCCAGGCTCCCCAAGATGCCTCTATATTTTGTTTATAAGAGACAGTCTTTAAAATATAAAGAGATTGAAAAATGTGTCTTGTGAGCTGTATAAGTAAGTCTGTAGTAGCTATATTAATATCAGATAAAGTAGGTTTAAAGACAGAAAGTCTTACTAGAAGATAAAGCAATCTTGAAAAAGAAGAATCAAGTTAGAGGATTTATAGTTCCTTCAAAACTTACTATAAAGTACAGTAGTCAAGATAGTGTAGTCCTGGCATAGAGACTGACAAATAGATCAATGGAACAGAATAAAGAACCCAGAAGTAGACCTCACCTATACAATCATTTGATTTTTTACAAAGGAGCCAAGTAACCCAATGGGGAAAAGGAAGTCTTCAACAAATGGTTCTTGAAACTAGATATCCATGTGGAAAAAAATGAACCTCCTACTCACACCATACACAAATATTTTTTAAGGATGGTTCATAGACCTTATATATAAAACCATAAAGCTTTTATTAAAAAATATGGTAGAGGGTGCCTGGGTGGCTCAGCGGGTTAAGCCACTGCCTTCGGCTCACGTCATGATTCCAGGGTCCTGGGATCGAGTCCCGGGTCGGGCTCTCTGCTCAGCAGGGAGCTTGCTTCCCTCTCACTCTCTCTCCCTGCCTCTTTGCCTACTTGTGATCTCTCTCTATCAAATAAATAAATAAAATCTTTTAATAAAAAAAAATAAAAAATATGGTAGAGTAGGGGTGTCTGGGTGGCTCAGCCAGTTGAGCGCCTGACTCTTGGTTTCGGCTCGGGTCATGATCTCAGAGTCTTGGGATTGAGCCCCGATTCTGGCTCAGTGCTCTCTAGGGAGTATGCTTCTCTTCCTCTCTCTCTGCTCCTGCCCCCATTCATGCACACACTCTCACTCTCTTTCTGTAGCTCAGATAAATAAAATCGTTAAAAGAAGAAGAAGAAGAAAACACCTTGTACAACATTTAAAAAATACAGCATTTTTGTGACTAAAGGGTAAGCAAAAGTTTCTGAGGACATGGAAAACAATAACCATTGGAGAAGAAAATTGCTAATTAAACTGTTGATAAGAATAAAGTGTTACAAGCACTTTGGAAAAAGGCCTGGCAATTTCCTATGAAACTTTTCATGCATCTATCCCATTACCCCAAGAGAAACAAAAACATTTCCACCAAAAAAACACAAAAGAGGGCTCCTTGGTGGCTCAGTCAGTTAAGCCTCCAGCTTTTGGTTTCGGCTCAGGTCATTATGTTAGGTCCTGGTATCAAGCCCTGCATCAGGCTCTGCTCTCAGCAGGGGGGTCTGCTTGAGATTCTCTCCCTCTTCCTCTCCCCCTCCCCCCTGCTCGTGTGCACTCTCTCCCTTTAAAATAAATAATTTTTTTTAAATGAAGGATTGCCCATATAACAGCTTTACTCATACTAGACAAAAATTCAAACACCCCAAGCCTGTGTATCAGTAGGAGATGAATAAACAAACTGTGGTGTATTCATACAATGGAATCCTCAGGAATAAAAAGGAATGAGCTCCTGTTAAATGCAACAACATGAATGAATCTCAAAACATAATGCTGAGTAAAAGAAGCCTCGCACAAGAGTACATACTATATGATTCCATTTATATGAACAGTGGAATCATATGCTATGTGCTAACTTGGGGGGAAAAGTTGTGGTAGAAACATCAGAACAATGGTTGTCTCTAGGGAGTGGGTGGTGCCAGGTATTGACTGAGAAGAGGTACACGAAAAATTTCTGAAGTGATAGAAATGTTTTGCTTCTTGATAGAAGTTTTAGTTACACAGATATATACATTTTCAAAACTCACTGAATGGTGCACTTAAGATTTGTGCATTTCATTGTATGTAAATTTTACTATAAGAGGGAAAAACTGTAATACTGAATTCTAATTAATTATACACACTTAATGGCATGTATACTGATGTCTGTAACCTAGTTTAAAATGCATCAAAAATATGATGGATTGATGGAAAGGCAAACAGATAAATTAATATGCGATACAGTAAGTATATAAATATTAATGGTAGAATACATATGGTGAATATACAGATTCACTATATGGTTTTTCAACCTTTTTATGTTTGAAATTTTTTATAGTAGAGTGAGAACAAGAAAATTATAAACTTAAAATTCAAAATAGTAGTCACATCTTGGGAGGATAAGAATGGGAGATAGGTAATAAGCACACAGGTACAAAGGTTTCAGTACTAGGCTCTTTTTATTTTAAGGGTTTTTTTTTTAAGATTTTATTTCTTTACTTTAGAGTAAGAATGCGAGCAGGGTGAGGCGCAGAGAGGGAAGGAGTATGAAGGGGAAAGAATCTCCAGCAGACTCCACGCTGAGCAGAGCCCAACATGGGGCTTGATCGCACAACCCTGAGATTATGACTGAGCCAAAAGCCAAGAGTCAGATGCTTAACCAACTGAGCTACCCAGGTGCCCCAGTACTAGTCTAGCTTTTCAGTATTAGTCTATCTGTTCAGTGTTCACAGATACTTTATTATTGTTTTATTGTGCCTCTTAACTTAAATTTATCTTAAATATACCCTTTATATAGTTTTTCATACAATTAAAAAATACTAGAATACATCAGAAGTTGAGTTCAATTAACCAGTGATAACAATAATGAAGCATACTTGTTAAATGACATTCCAAGAAATCATTTCTCTATATTATAGTTCCCTTGGGCCTCCAAATCTAACATTCACATTTGCTTATCTGAATCTGTTCATTTTCTTTCTTGCAAACTTTCCAGGTTCTGACTTTAGAGACAATCAGTTCTTTTCCTTTTAACACCTTTCTTTTCAATCTCTAAAGGGGGTACTTCTAAACCTAAAATCTCCCCTACAGGCAAATAGTTTAGCGCACTATGACATTCAACCTGTCTTCTCTCTGTGGGTAGAATCTTTGCTGCGTTCTTCCCTTTATGGAAAATAATACGCATGCCTGAAATCAATAACAAAAATAAAAGAATAAAAGTTGTAGAGTTTAAAGTAATAATAGCTGACCAGGAATGGAGACAGAATGATATAGAGGTGAATGGTTTTGGTTCAATAAACTAAAAAATGTAGGTGGCTCAGTGGCAAATAGTACACATACTGTTTGAAATTATTTTTGTCCTCCAGTTTTTATGTTCGCCCAATAGAGCGAAGTGACCAAAAGCAAATATAAAATATCAGGGAACAAACTTAAGGAAAAACTTAGCACCTTAGTATTATTAATTCTCACACCTTTTCTCACTTTTCCTTTATGTCAGTATTCTTGTGTACATGAAAATCTGTGTAATAACTTACAAGACCTAACCTAGGACAGGAAGGAATAAATGGTGGGTTCTTCCATGTGCTGGGAGGCAGTATTTTATCAGTTTTAATTCTAGCTTCACCATATGAGTTTCCTTGGGAAACTTACTTAGATCCTCTGTGAATTTCATCTGTAAAATCCATATTTCATTGAATCTAAATTGCCATGTTATAACACCCTCAATTATCTTATGTGCCACTAAGAAAAAAGAGATACTGCAATTAAACTATGATTCAATGCTTTTTTGATTGAATATATTTATGCTTAGCTCTGTGTATGTGTGTGAGAGAGAGAATCAGTGAGAAATACAGTACTATCAGCCTTCTGAATTATTTTTTAAGATTTTATTTATTTATTTATTTATCTGTTTATTTTAGAGAGCACACAAGCATGGGCAGAGGGAGGAGAGAGAGAATCTCAAGCAGACTGTGCGTTAAGCTTGCAGCCCACTGCTGGGCTCAATCTCACGACCCCAAAATCATCACCCAAGTGGAAACCAAGAGTCAGATGCTTAACGAGCTCAGCCACCCAGGCATCCCTCAACCTTCTGAACTTATAAGTAATAAGTAGAACAATCTACTCGAAGTGTTGAGCAAGGAGCCTGGCACATTATAAACACTCAATAACTAGTAGCCTTTGTGTTGAGGGTGATATTATTTGTGATTTGATCATGAGTGCTTTGTGAAGTGGTTCATTGTTTAGGTTGTTCTTTGGGGACCAGAATTATTAATACAACATCTTGGTGAGATTTGTTGGTGGCAATCAGAATGCCCACTCATTTTGAATCTGAAGTAGCATAACAGTAGCATAACATCTTTAGTTGGTTTTCAGAGGTAATTCTTTTAACTATTAGCAGTTGGTTATCAATGAAATTTGTTGGCTATTGTTGACGTTTCCTCCAGAAATAAATTCTACTGATACATATCAACCTTCCCTGTTGGTTGAAGTTGCTATTTATAGAGAGAATTTGTTCAAGTGCACAAGATGAGGGGCGCCTGTGTGGCTCAGTCAGTTAAGCATCTGCATTCGGCTCAGATCAGGATCCCAGGGTCCTGGGATCAAGCCCTTCATCAGGCTTCCTGCTCAGCAGTGAGTCTGCTTTTCCCTCTCCATTCCCTGTGCCCATGTTCCCTCTTGCTGTCTCTCTGTCAAATAAATAAAATCTTTTAAAAAGCTTAGTAAAATTGCTTTGTTGACACTATATGAGACCTCAGGTTTTAAATTTTTTTTTTTTTTATCATTTTCCTTTCTATGCAGGAGGCAGACAGTGGGGAGGAGGAATGCCGGTCACAGCCCCGGAGGTATGTTTGTTCATTGTATTCTATAGCATTTCTGTAGTTAATGTTTTTTCTCTAATTTTTAGTCTTGTCAGATTAGCTTACCTTGGTTTTCCAGGAAGATTAATTGGTTTCTCAAAAAGGGGTTGTTTTAAGAATCCAGTTCTGACTCAGATTTAAAATGGTTAATTGCATTATGTTGTACACATGACACTAAGATAATGTTGTATGTCAATTATTCGTCCATACATACATACATATAATGGTAGATTGCTTTAAGAAAGTGCAGATATGCCAATACTGGCCCAATTTTTACCCAAATCTAGAGAACTATCTTGAGTAATAAAAAAGTAAATTTTCATTACCTTTTAGGAAAATATCAACTGAACATTTCAGCCTTCAGTTTTGTACTTAGATTTGTCATTCATTTTGATAGATATTTAAATTCTTCTAGATTGGTCAATATTTCACTTCCTAAATACAAAAGATATAGTAAGTGACTTACCCAATCCTTTATATACAATGACTACTCAGAGAGTTGTGGGCGTATTGTTAAAAGGGTACCAATACTTGCTGCTGTTAAAAGAAAAAGATTATGAGAGATATTTAAGAAGTAGATAAATATTTTTGTTATCTCATTTAAATGGCTTTATAAATCAACTTTTTTCCCCAAGAAACAGTACTGGTAAGTTCAGGATGGTCATTTAAATGCTACCAAACTTTTGTCCTCCAAACTCAATCACACGAGCCATTCTGTATGATACAGAGGAAGTATACAGTAAGCATGCTCAAAGTGGAGAACCTGGCTAGAAGGAATGTTCCTTAATGATAAATTATCAAGTGTTTGTTGCTGTATACCACTCTTGCAAACTATACGTTTTTATAAAAATCATTCCTTTTCATCGTAACTGAGGCTTATTGACAGTATTTTTTTCTGTCTTTGTTAGCATGAAAATTTGACTTGAAACTTTATTTCTCACTATCTATTGGAGAAGATCTGAGAGTGAAGTATCATCTTTTGCATAGGGCTAAGAGAAAGAAACCCAGAAAAAATTTTAGCTGAATGATTACCAGAGACATCATAACCTTATTCCTATTAGAATGAAAAGAGGATTCCAAAGGATTCTGAATTTTTTACTAGGCCAGATGTAAAGATCGTTGGGTTAATTTCATGCTTTACATATTGACTTGGTATCTACTGGGATGATTGTTGTTCCAAATATTACATAATGAGGCAATGCAGGTTTACTCTCATTAACAGTCAAGCCATTAAAAACATTAAGACCACTGTTTTTAAAATTGTTGACAATAAATTATTAATATGACTAGCAGAGGGTTTTTGTAGGCTTCTTCTGTTTACAAGAAAAGGATCATTTATACAAAGAAGGAATGAAGAAAAACCTGGTAGTACCCTTTTTTAAAAATCAAACTTTACTTGCCTATTGTAATTTCTTACATTCGATATGTTTCCCAGGCTATTTCTAAATCTAATTGCTTTAGTCTGACTCAAAGCAAAGAAACTTCTCTTAAGTCCAGTTGAATACCCTTTGTTGCTGGATGGTATGTAAGAGGTTGATTTTTTGTGTGCTTGACTTCTACAGATTATTCTGGCGTTCCCTATCACTTACCACAGAATAAACCAGCACTGAGTTAGCATCATTTCACTGAGCCTGCCTGAACTCATCTTTTCAGTTTGAGGGTTCAATTGTGGTTTGTAGTAGAGAATTGAGTAGAATAGAGTAAACAGCATATTATTAAAACTAATACCAATTCCACATAATAAAGATGTTTTATTAATTACCTCTTATTTTAACCAAATGTCATTTATTGGGAAAGTCTTAAAAGTAATCATTTAATATAATTAGCCCAAACTATGAAGTCTTTAAAAACCAATGTTCATAGGCAACAACAAAAATAGATAAATTAGTCTACATCAAAATTTTTGTAAATCATATAGCTGATTAGGGGTCAATGTCCAGAGTATATAAAGAACTCTTACAACTCAAGTACAATAGAAAAAGAACAACCTGTCTTATTCAGCTCAGACTTCTATAAAAAATACCCATAGACCGATTGATTAGCTTAAACAACAGGTGTTTATTTCTTACAATTCTGGAGGCAGGGAAATCGAAGATCCATGTGCTGGCAGATTTGGTTCCTGGTGAGAGCTTTCTTCCTGGCTTTCAGCAGCTGTGTTCTTGCTGTGGCCTCATGTGGCTGTGTGAGAGAGGATGAGCTGGTTTCTTCCTCATACGTAGACATGAATCCTGTCATGGGAGCCCCGTAACATCATCATGACATCATCTACCCCTTATTTCCTCCCAAAGACTCCCATCTCTAAATACCATCACATCAGGGGTTAGGGCTTCAAGATATGGATTAGCGAGGTACACAAACATTCAGTTCATAACATTCCACCCTGTGCCTCCAACTCATATCCTTCTCACACAAAAAATATATTCATTCCATCCCAGTAGCCCCAAAAGTCTTAACTCATTTGAGCATGAAGTCCAAAGTCTCATCGAAATGTCTCATCGAAATCATGGGGCACCTGGGTGGGCTCAGTCAGTTAAGCATCTGCCTTTAGCTCAGATCATGATCCCAGGGTCCTGGGATTGAGCCCCATATCAGGCTTCCTGCTCAGTGGGGAGTCTGTTTCTCCCTCTCCCACTTTACCTCCCCCTGCTTGTGCTCTCCCACCTCTCTCTCAAATAAATAAAATCTTTTTTAAAAATCTCATCTAAATCAGATACAGATATAGAATTTCTCTCCAGCTATGAACCTCTGAAACCAGGTAAGTTATGTACTTCAAGACACGGTGGTAAGATAAGCTTAGGAAAACATTCCCATTCCAAAAGGGAAATAAGAAAGAAAGGTGACAGTTAATCCAAAACTTAGCAAGGCAAATTCCATTAGATCTTAAGGCTCAATAATAATGCTCTTTGGTTTGATACTCTGCACTGGGGACCCACTGGGATGGTTGTCATGCCACCACTGGATTGGTAGTGTCATCTCTGCAGCTCAGCAAGGCAGCCCTGTACCTTTGGCTCCCTTAAGTGCCACCCATCTGACATTCTGCAAGGGCCCATCTACCTGGCATTCTGCTGGGCAGCAGAACCAGTGTAAAGGTAGACTTGCCCTCAGCCCTTGCACTCTGGGTCTATAGTTGGAGTAGCAGTCCTAATGATCTCTGAATCTCCTTTGGGGTCCTTCTTTCCTTTTCTTGAATGATAATGTATGTTCACAGCCTTCCTTCATTCTGTCTTATTTTCTTTGGTTCCTCCAATTCCAGCTGGCAGTGTTTCTGCTAGTATGAATCCCATCTTTATTCCTAGCTTCTGTGGAGATGGCTGTAGAGAGGTCTATGGTTCACACCCACTTTAATCACCACACCCTTGGTGTTTTCTTCTGAACATGCTTTCTTATTTTTTACAATACAGACCCGAGAATTTTCCACATCTCTAAGTTCTGTTTCATTTTGCTTAACAGGTACTTCTTCAATTCATTTCTCTCTTCTCATGTTTTATTATTTACAGTTGGAAGGAAGTAAGCTGTTCCTTCAATGCTTTGCTTAAAAATCTAAGTTATATATCTAATTTCCTCACTCACAATTTATGCTTTTCACAAGACATTAGAACATGAACCTAATTTAGCTAAGTTCTTTCCTACTTTATAACAAGTATTGCCTTTTCTCTATTATCCAATAACATGTTTCTTATTTCTGAGACCTCACTGGAATGGACTTTACTGCCCATATTTCTGTCAACATTCTGTTCATGATTATGATGTATTCTTTAAGAAGATGGAGGGCTTTTTCTCCAGCCCTCCTCTTTTCTTTCTGAGCTCTCACCAGAATTGCCAATTAACACTCCCTTCATGACAGTCTTACCTTTTTCAAGCATGTTCCTCAAAATTCTTCCAGCTTCTAGTCATTACCCAATTCCAAAACCACTGCCACATTTTTAGGTATTCAATATAGCAACACCCCACTTCTCAGTACCAAAATCTACAGTTGAGTTTTCCAGAGAAAATGGGAAATATATAGATAGATTTAGTATAAGGAGTTGGTTCACACAATTATGGAAGCTGGGAAGTCCCCAAGATCTACAAGTTGGAGACCCTGGAGAGCTGATGGTCTAACTTCCAGTCTGAGCCTGAGTCTGATCAGGAAAAGACTGATGTCATAGCTCAAAGATAGGCAGAAGGAGCAAATTCTTCCTTGCTCAGCCTTTTGTACTATTCTGGCCTTCACTGGAATGGTGAAGCCTACGTACATTGGGAAGGGCCATCTGTTTTACTCAGTCTACTGATTTAAATGTTAATCTCATCCAGAGACACCCCCAGAATAATGTTTAACCAAATTTCTGGGCCCAGAAATCTGTGGCCCCGTCAAGTTGACACATAAAATTAACCTTTGAACAACTCAACTTAAAAAAATGAGTAAAGAACATTTCTCCAAAGAAGGTATACAAATGACCAATAAGTATATGAAAAGATGTTCAGTATCACTAATCATTAGGGAAGTACAAATCAAAATTACAATGAGAGATATCACCACACTCATCAGGATGGCCATTGTCCAGAAAACAGAAAATAAGTATTGGTGAGGATGTGGAGAAAGTGAAACCCTTGTGCATTGTTGGTGAGAATGTAAAATGGTACAGTATAGCAGGTCCTCAAAAAACTAAAAATCTAATTACTATATGCTCCAGCAATTCCACTTCTGGCTATATACCCAAAAGAATCAAAAGCAGGGTCTTGAGAAATTTGTACATGCATGTTTATAGCAACATTATTAACAATAACCAAAAGATGGAAGCAACCCAAGTGTCTACTGGCAAATAAATGGATGAATAAATATGATATAGCCATATAATGGAATATTACTCAGCCTTTAAAAAGGAAGGAAATTATGGCAAATGTTGCATGGATAAATCTTGAGGACATTATGCTAAGTGAAATAAGCCAGTCACCGAATAATACATATTTTATGTTTCCACTTACCTGAGATACCTACTATAGTC